GAGAATAATGAGTAGATACCTGAGTGCCACTGATAGCGACACCCAGATATAACGCTGTTTTTCTAACCATTTGTGACCGCGACCTCGGGGTTTCCAGACAGGGAGCCTAGCGGGACCTATGTGACCCAGTATCCTGGTTAGGGTTTTCATACCCTCATGCCATTTCTTAGTTTGACCACCCTTGACCCTTTTCTAACCGCTACCTGCTTCGGCAAACATCGCTCGCCGTGGCAACCCATTTGGTGACGTGTGACACATGCCCCAACCTAAGGAAGTCGACTATTTCCTCCAGTGGACGACCGCGACTACCTAAAACTCTGCGCCTAACTTCAGCATTGCTCGTCCAGTTATCCCACCAGACTCGTGCAATGCGACGTAGACAGTGGTGTTCGCACAATCTATTTTTATCCTGTTCCGGTAGTGGCCAAGTCTCTGCGCCGCAGAGCAGAAACGGGCCAAACTGCTGTAGCATATATCCCACCTTTCACGGACAGCCGGATGTCGCGGAGGCGCCACCGATTTTTTTTATTACACACGTTCATGTGCTGTACAGTAGACGGGGAAAATCCGATAGCCACAGAGACCTGCTGTTTAGTGGTTTTAACCGGTAACCTAAGCCTCGGGACTTGGAGTGGCGAACCACATAAGGCCCCGATAGGGAGGTGTGGTATTGAACCGAACGACAGCACAGCTTGGACCATAGGGTCCAAAGCACGCCTGTGACAGCGACTAAACCACAGCGCCACCACATGTCTCAAGTTGGCAAATGCCAACCGAGCTTTCTGTATGCGCACCGACACTTCATCTGTGATGCATCCTCTAGGTGAGATATAGCTGCCAGATAACAAAACTTGTCTACTTTGTCTACTACTTCCCCAGTCAGTGTGAGGTTGGGGGCTGAACCAAACCAATATTGTAGCAACATTTTCCGCTTTGAAGGTGCGAAACGCATACCGCACAAGGCTACACTAGCACTCAAACGATCCAGAAAAACTTGCAACTTACCCGGATCTTCATTTAGTAGCACGTGAGAGCCAAGCTGGTTTTAGACCTGCTCAAGGTTATCTCGGCCACATCTTCCTTTTTCGTCACATTCTAGAACACAGAAACTCCGTAGACCCACTGTCTCTACCTTTCGCGATCTGAGGTTTATTTCAATCTTACAATCCCTCTTTACTAATAGCCGAAACCGAGTCTGGGATTGTGGTACATTTTCGCCCGAGTTTACCACAGAAATCGGTGTTCATCAGGGTGGCCCTATATTTATGTTTAAATTCGTTAGAAATTTGATTCTGGAAACAGCCCTGTTCACGTGAAAGGATAGTGCCATCGAGTTGCTGCCGAGTGGCAGACTGACTGATCTGGGGCATGCAGAAAAATCGTTCTAGGTGAAGATCCCGGTAAGATGCAGTTTCAGTTTGTAGAACTAATAACCATGCATCGTAGCGCGGCAGTTTTTGTTGCTGCCTTATAGCTGCCAATTTGAATAAAGCAGTAGAAAGAAGAGAAAGTTGTAGGTAGAGTCGAAGGGAAAGTAGATAATTTAAGTGAACTGAAGTTGTAAAAATAATGAGTGGATGGACAAACGCCACAGCCATATCGCTCAGTTATAAACAATAAGTTACGATGATCCCAAGTTCCCTATCCAGGCAGCCTAACGCAACTTATATGCCCGAGTCTGCTGGTCTAGGGTTCCATACCCTCATGTCAGATCTTTTCTTGATCCTCCTTGGTGTTTTCCACCCACTACCTGCCTCGGTAAACATCGCGCGCTATGGCAAGTTATTTGACGACGTGCGCAACAAAGGCCTCAGCCAATTTGGCTAAGGGTGAAAATATGGTCTAAACAACTCCAATCAAATTATCGAGCGTGTACTTTCACCTGCGACAGGCAATCGACGGAGTATGATGATAGCAGAAGTTTAGAATCAATGTTCATCAAACTAATTACTGTGGTTTTCAAGGGAGGATCTATCACTTTTATAAATCGATAAGATGACCGATTCACACCACTCAGCTGGAACCTGTTCACTCTCCATACCGAACCCAGGGGGTTGGTCAACTCTAAGACTACCGCTGAACCTCCATCCTTGAAAGCCAATGAAATCAGTTCATGTGGGCCAGAGGCCTTTAGCCATTTTTGGATAACTTACTTCCCGGGAAACCTCCAATTCAGATAGAGCATATAAGTTGCTGTTGCACGATTCATGAGTGTGCAAATTTTACCGTCTGCATCGTGCCATGCAGTGCGCATTCGGAGTCTGACACTTCGGACATTAAAAGCAACAGAGCTGAATATTTTAAAAATTAGATTACATTATTGAAGAACCTTTATTTTCGGACGAATAATAAAGATGTTGGTTCACCTTAATTTAATAGACAAATCGTCCCGGCAATCCTTTTTGATTTATGGTTAATTCATATGGGTACTGATGTTTCTGATGGCATACCTTGTATGATGGACATTAGACGGGTTAAAGCCTATAGATACGAAGACTTGTTCATTCATGGGACCAGGCAACCGAAGCACCGGTACTTCGATTGGCGAACAACACAAGATTAGGTGTGGGAGAATTCACAACCTGAGTCTTTAACTAGTCAAAGCCTGACCCGCAAAGCTGCCGGGCGGTCTATAGGAACCTCAATCCATTTGGGAGGGAAGGGGCGGTGTCCAATACACCGGATCATACGCCCTTTGGACGCGTACGAACGTCCGAGGTGCCTAATAAACCTTGACGCATAATCGAGTCGGCGCACACTATCACTATCATAGTGGGTGAGTGAGGTTCATACGCCTCTCATATTGGTTTGGAATTAGGGTTTTGAGCCAACTACGCAGTTAAATTGTCATTGGTTCACGGACCCGATTATAGCCCAGGATGTCGATTCTTCGTCCACTTACTTTGGTGGGAAAACCACCAAGAGAACGTAGTGAGTAGGGCTGTTTGAGACCTTCGGTTGGACACGAGTATTTCGTGAGATGCAAAGAAGGGCTGACCAACCACAACCCAGAACACCCACTCCGACCATACTGATGCTTTGGGAGGCACTTCGATCCAAAAATGTCCTAAATCGCGGGCATAAACAGAGAGCTTACGCCTCTGTGTAAAGAATGCTGGGTGTTCATTCGATCCACTAGCCTCAAATGCAACCCGGTTACTGTTCTCCTACCACATAAGCCCTCTACTGAAGTATGATGATCCATATGCCCAGTCGTAGGAAAACGTAGGATCAGCTATGAAGACCGTCTGAAAACAATGGGGTTGTCCTTCGTGGCATGCAGCTGTATCCACGCACCTCGCGAAGTGCTGCCGTACGACCAAGCGTCTCAAAAGCCCCTCCCCCTCTGCTGAGGAAGCCCTATTCATTGGTTTTCCTGGGCTTTTTCGTCACCAAAGTGAGAAGATAAAAAGCCAACATTTGGGGGTATAACCAGCTTTGTGAACCACTGGGGGCTTACCCAAGGGAGTTGGCTAAAAACCCGGATTCCAAACCAACTAAGGAGAGGCGCACGAACCACATTTATTCAGTTTATTTGAACAAAACCTGATGGGGCTAATGTGGAAGAATCCCAACTGGCCTTCAAAAGTGAAGACATTCTTAAACTACGATTACAAAAGCCATCGGTTCAAGCCGTATCTTTCGGCGAGTTTACAACCGCAGGCACTCTTTGCCTAATGCAAAACCCTCACCTCCATGAAATAACACGTTATTCAGATAAGCTGCATAAGTTTAACGCGAAAACTTCCAGGGAACGTGCCAGACATGAGGTTGAGGTGCAATGTAGAAGTGGTTAGACGATGATCGATTCAGTAGGACTTACCACAATCTCGAAAAGTGCCAGCTCTTAACCGCAAGAGCCTATACCGCTCGGTACGGGCAGCGCTCATTGCAGCACACGGATGCAGTTAAGGACTCAGGAGTCTTTCTCACGGAGAGTTTCAAGCCTGAAACACAATGTCTGAATGCAGCCAATAAGGCTCGTGGTGAGCTCTTCAGGTTGTGTGCTGCCCTTACATGCAAAAACGCAGAGGGTTTTATACCTCTCTACAAGGCAATAGTTCACCCCCACTTAGAATACTGTGTTCAGGCATGGGCACCATACTATAGAAAGGATATAGCATGCCTGCAGCAGGTGCAACGACTTGCTACTCGAATGGTGGCCGGGAAAAGGCTATGAACAGCGATTAAGAGACCCAGATCTCTTTTCGTTGGAACGCACACGACTGCGAGGAAACCTGATAGAGACCTTTAAAATAGTCAGCGAGCTATCCATACAGATGACCTGTTTATGGTTTCTCTTGTTCAAAACACGAGGGGCCATAGCTTTAAACTCCAACAGAACCATGCTAGGCTGGAGTTACGGGCCAACTTCTTCGCACATAGGGTCACATCTATGTAGAAAAGGTTACCTGGGGGAGTGGTCAACTGCACCAATGTGCACAACTTCAAGGAGACACCGGTTGCGGATTGGCCGGAAATGTTCCCTGAGATCAGGTGGTAATGTATCGCCAGATAAATTGCAGCCCCGAACTATGGAATCGGGCCCTTTAATTGTACTTGAAACTAGCATGTATCAGAAAACGAAGGTCTCTCACCGATGAGGCGAGAATGCATCTGTTCTCTTTTCTCTTTTCCAGTTTGACTGGGAAAATCCGGTTAAAGAAACTCAGAAAACGCAGTGTTGGGAGTCAAGAATACCCGCCGACAACGCGATAATCTGGAAGCGCGATTGACAAGGACCATTATTCGTCTTGTGAAGACTGGACTGAACTGAATTTGTACATGTGCGCTGGGACGCCACTTTGTAAATGCGATAATGCATAAGTTTACAAGGCTCTGGTTGAACATCTGTCAATTAACTATCAGCGTTTATTCTTCTAGTAACCTGTAACTTTTAGTGAAGGAATCATGAAAAACTATGGGTCGCCTGACCTCTGGATAGTGAACTAACTGAACAGCAGACATGCATGCAAAATAGTTTCAGCAATACTTACGCTTCATACGTAAATTCCCACCCACAGCAGAAGGAAGAAAGATCCCACTCCGAGAAATACTGCAGAAGTTCCACTTAAGAGCAGTTCCTTTCGAAAAGCTCGAGAAAATTTGTTGGCAGTAAGTTCGTAAGCAAAAAACCACGCAACGAAGAACGTTCCAATGAGAAGCAGGAGCACGGCAAGTGTGGGATAAGATGCAGGATTGATGGGAGATACGTACCGCTCCATACCGACAAGTGAAGTCTGAAAATTAACCAGATAATAATTCAGCCACTCACATCCATATTGGCGCCAATAGCGTTTGTGTCTACGATTGAATTTTGAAACGAACAAACAAACAAAATTTTAAAGTTTCAGGACGCGGGAAGGCTTCAGTCTGTGAGGTCTACCGGTGATAGTGTGTTCGGTGAACGTTACCCGCGGGGATCCCTCCTACCAAAATGAGCGATATCAGTTCAGTTCGGTTCGGTTCCAGGGCGTTGACGGCGGTGTGCCAGTTAGTCCAGTTTCTTGCAGCGGTAGGCTCTAGGGATCCACCCATACTGCGACAAATGGAAGAGGGAGATGACTGTTCTTCAATTTTGTGATCAAAACTTCAGGAGAGTTGGTTGTTGACCTCCCACTATCGCGCCACATTCCGGTCACGCCTAATGGATCAGGGCCGCAGACCCTGATACCGGCACCAACCAAGTTACAACCCCTTCCAAGAGGGATGGGGAGTTCGAGTGGTATGTTAGTGATCGGGTAATGGTGAAGAGATAAGGATATAGTATGGAAAGAATAGATAATATTAGTGGATGACGAGTGAGCGAGTAAGTGAGAGAAGGTCGGGGAGAGAGAGTGCAGACAGTGTGGGGAGAAGGAGGGAGTGGAGCTTCCGAACAATCACGTTGGTCAAGCGGCTTCTTAGGTGAGAAGGCCTTGCCAAACAGAGTCCAGGCAGGTCTTCACCGAACTGGAATTGACTACTTCAATGGGTAGTCTGTTCCAGTCGTTCACCACCCTTATGGCAAACGATTGCTGCCTTATGCGGGTGAATACCCGGACCTTAGCTAACTTGAGGTCATTTCCCCTTAACACTGGGTTCTCGATGAGAGGTCGTAGTGGTCTCCCTTCTTCCCCAAAGTCATCCAAACCCTTTAGAAGTTTGAATGCCTCAATCAGTTCTCCCCTCCTTTTCGCCAGTGAAAAGAGCTCGAGCCTCTACAGCCTGTCCTCATATCTAAGGTTCCTTATTACTGGGAACCACCTGGTGGAGTACCCCTGCGTCTTCTCGAGAACTTTTATATCCCCAGCTAGATATCAGCTCCAGGCCTGGACACAGTATTCCAGGTGAGGGCGCACAAAGGTGGCAGTACAACCTCCGGTCTTCTGGAGCTCACTGCTCTCTTCAGTTGGTAGAGAGCTCCTTGTGCCTTTCTTGCCGCTTGTCAGCAATGTGCACTTGATTTGAAATCAGCCTGGATCTTAATACTAAGATCCTTGGCCTCCCTCACTTCATCCAGTTCACTCCCAGTGCCTAGTGGGCCGAGGCGTCTACCCTGCTCTTCGTCCTGCTGAGCGATGAGTCTCTGGCATTTGCCGATATTTAGCTGCAAATCCCATAACACAGACCATTCGTAGATCTTGCTGAGATCACCCTGTATAGTCTCAGAGTCGGGGTTGACTATCAGCTTTACATCATGAGCGTAGAGGAGACATGGGTTCTCCAAGCCCCCCACTAAATCACTGATGTACAGTAGGAATAGTAGCGGACCCAGAAACGACCCCTGTGGGACCCCACTACGGAGTTCCCTTTTGTGGGATACTTCCCCCTCTATATTCACCTGGAAGCTCCGACCCTTTAGACAACTACATATCTAGTGCTCCATCTTGGGAATCAGCCCAAAGCGTCGAAGCTTCATCGTCATCAACCTGTGGTTGACTGAGTCAAAAGCCTTTTGAAAGTCTAGGCAGCAGACTTCCACCCTGTCTACCCGGTCAATCCGATGCGTTTCCTCGTCAAGGAAACACAGCAGTCAGTAAGTCAGTTTGCACAGGATAGGAGATGGCTACGGCCAATGGAGCGTCCAGAGTTCCTTCGGTAGTAAGCCACGTGTTGGTCCCTACCATTGCGAGTGTTCTATATTGGAGTTATGATCGTTTCCTTCTCGTTCCAATCGTGTCCGCCTCTGCAAGGGAAGAGAAAGGAAAAAAGAATATATTCTTCCCTTGTTCAGGCGAGAGACCTCACAGTTGGAAGCGCTCCCCTATTTGGGGTGGTTAGTAAATGAGAAAACCTTTAACTTCTAGCAAACCTTAAACTATGCATCTACTTCAGGAAATAAGTTCAACCAGCTTTTATCAAGCTCCTCCTTGAATGCATGTACGCTCCCCAGCTCTATCAGCTCATATGGTAACTTATTCCATGAGTTGATTACTCTGTTGCTGAAGAAGTTTGAACGCGCCGCTAGTCTCGTGCGTACTTTCTTCAGCTTGTGCATGTGCCCCCTAGTATTGCTTTCTCTCCGCTCTAAGAACACTGCTTGATAGGCCATTCATAATTTTGAATGTCTCTATCAAGTCACCTCGGAGTCTTCTCTCTAAGGAGAAGAGCCCAAGGTCCTGCAGTCTCTGCCTATACGACTTCCCTCGCTGTCCTTCGATCATCCTTGTGACTAACTGTTGAACCCCTTCCAGACAAGCGGAGTCCTTTTTGAAGAAAGGAGCCCAGGCTTGTATATAATACTCCAAATGCGGTCAAACAATGGCTTTGTATAGAGGCAAGAACACCTCCGGTTTCCTACATGTTAATGCCGACCTCAATCTAAAAAGCTCTCGACGGGCACGGTGAGCCGCTGCGGCACACTGTTCTGCCCATTTGTAGTCTGCTGTCACTATAATTCCTAAATCTCTAGCTTTCTGCGTCGTTCCTAGTGAAAGACCGGCGTGACTACTCCTCACAATCAACTCCTCGTCTCCAGTGGTCAAGACATGACTCTTTCCTATGTTGAGAGGCAGATCCCATGCACTTGACCACTTGAGCGCTTCTCCTATGTCCCTCCCTAATTCCCCTCTCCCATTTGATCCTACCACCTTGACGTCATCCGCGAAAATAT